TGGCTTTTTCGTGGTAACCCTGCTTCCTTTTTTCAATCCGTTTTTCCCAATTCTATTATGGTTCTGCGACGCTTCGGCATATGATTCGTGGTTTCGATTTTAGTAGATCAATGCCAGATACGGAGGGCAGTTCCTTGAATCCTTCTGTTCCTTTTGTCCTGCGCGGTTCCTCATCAGTGTTCTCGCGACGTCAGCTTGACACATTTGGCAGCCTTCAAGCCTTAGAAGATGCACACATCAAGGTTACCAAGGCAACTAAAGCCGAGCGGTTATTGGTTAAAAAAATGGCTTGGCGTCTAGTTAAACCTGCTGTGGAATCGCTAGCAGCTGAAAAAGAGGCGGTGAGGATTTTTTGGACTTGGTACTTCTAAAGGCTTCTTCTCTTTGTGACATCTATCTTATTTCTTAAGTAAACCTATTGCTTGCTCAGTTGATCCCACAAAGTATGATTACATAGACCTATTCCTGAGTCATTTATTCAAATATTTTAGCGGGACCGACGAAATGCGTCCAGCGAGGTTTCGAAAAATCCTTTCAAGGTCCCAACTTTGCTTCCACCACGTGTGTCCAAATTACGTGGTAGCGGAAGGCGCACTGCTCACCAGTTTACAGAAGTGCCTCGCCGTGACCCCTCGAAGTGGACTCATTATAGCCTCGCAGACGTTGATGAAGATGCCGGACTAGGTGCAAATGCTAACCGTAAAATTGCTTCTGACTTGATGCGCGAATTGCGACGTCAGCGTGACGAATTGGTCTGTTTATTTCGCATACCTTAAAATCTTGTTTGCTCACTAATTATCAGTAGGATGTTTCATTGCTTCTACCTTCAGGAGGGTAATGTGAATGGTCCACCACCGAGCAGCGATGCCGCACTACCAGGACGAATTCTCTTCCGTTCGGTGTCTGGGAAGAAGCGAGCTCGTCTTGACACGTCCAATTTATTGTTGTCCTCTGTGCCCACTGTGAATTCCAAGACCCTTAACGAAGATGAAGAGGAAGAGGTGCTCTCAAGCAGCGATAACCGCACCACTTTTGACGAACAATCTTCCACATCTGGCACTGTTACATTTCGAACACGGATGCAACGGAGACGTCAGTGTTTTGGACGGCTCTCTGCTTCCACTTTGAAAGACAGTGACGAGGAAGTTGATAAGAGCGAATCTGTGTCAATTTCTTCTGTTGCTCTAGAAGGTGACAATTCTAGCGATATCGCTGCTGAAGATAGCGATATGGATGATGCCGCGATGGAGGATGGTCTAGAAGGTGTGTAAGTAAAGACCAGGCATAAATTTTGGTCGTTTGTAAATAAGCTTACAACTCTGTTTCTTTGTGGTGTTTTTTTTTCTCGAGTAAAAAGCAACAAATTAGCCGTTGAAATGAATATTTTTACTAGCTGGGAAGAAAGTAGGTGCGCTGACTTTTGTCTCATGCACTGTAATGTGCTACCTTTAGAAGTTATATCGTTAGGTGCCTTTGACACACAAATAGTGTTTATTTTGGCTCATGGATTTGAGTGTGGTATTGAAATGGGGTGCGACAAAACGAATGGAATAATGAAAGTGATTAACGGGGATTTCACTTTCGTGTGTACTCCACTTATTGTTCCCATCTATTTCAGGGTAAAGGTGGA